TGTTATGTCGTGTATCAAATTTCAAGCTTCTACATCATACAGGTCAAAAGATATAGGTCAACAAAAGTCAAAAAAGGTCAAAATCGCAAAATGAAAATATCCAAATTTTAAAACCCGTTCCTTTTTAGGATGTGCCACGCCCACATAACTTTTTTGTCATAGGTGAATTCATATTCACAGTGTCTAGTTGTATTCCAAATTTCAAGGTTCTACATCAAATAGGTCATAAGATATACATACACCAAGCTCAAAGAAACACATATATTGTAAAAAAAAAAACCTCAAATTTGAAAAGATCACGAATTTCAATTTTGATTTACAAAAGCGATTGTTATATATCAATGTAAAGTGCATGAGAAGCACATCAGGAAACCGAAAAAATTAACCCTCTCAGTTAATTAGGTCACGTGCTAGAGCAGTCCAAAGTTGCGAATTTTCGGACAGCTATAAAACCGGAAGTACATGTCTGAGGTCAAATGTCAAAGTTTCAACTGATAGCCAAGGTCAAGGTCACGTGGTATGAGCGTTTAGAAAAAAATTCAACTGGAAGTTGCAAAAAAGCAAAAGCGAAATTCAAAATTTGGCTCTCAACGTTTTTTGCGCAATCGATTGCATAATACATACACATCAAAATTGAGCATATCAACATTTACCATGAGGCCCCATTTTGAGTTTTACAAAAGTATGTTTTTTCAAGATGGCGGCCAAAGTATCACTTCCGGTCTGGATTGTTTTTCTTCGTTTTTTATAATAGCATTTACTTACGATCAGCATAAATTTCAATTACACCGGAAGTTATTCGACCGGAAGTGGATTGCACTTTCAATTGATTTCCCGTTTAAAACCGGAAGTAAAGTTAAATATTTGACAACTACATATTATTTACTTAAGTGATGCCCATTTGCATATTAAATTTCAAATCAATCGATGCAAAAACAAAAAAGTCGCCAAAAAATTGCAAAATTTGATCGAAAAAAGCGAGTGACAAATTTTCGAATTTCGTAATTCTGCAAGTGCTATCAGATCAGAAATTACAGACACATTCTATAAATGAAAGTCCGCAGAAAATCGACGCAAAAATGCGCCTTCTAGAGCCGATTTTCGACATGTTGAAGTGGGCCACTTCCAGTTTTGCAAAAATGTTCCAAAATATATTTATGCAACACGTCCCCACTACAGAAGGTCTAGGAAAGTTGAATGATTGCTGCAGCTACTTCAGTCTAGGCTCAGGAAGGTGTGTAAAAAACAAAAAGTGCGTATTACACCTGTAGCATTGAATGAAAATCGAATGCAACATAATCACCATTCGGCAATTCCCGGACAATTCGGCAATTAACGTTAAAGCTGAAGACACATACATGCGGCTGCGATGCCTGTTTTGCGATTATGCGGTACCGTTGTGGCAGGTATGACTTTTTGGTCCGGTGAAACGCAGCGGGGAAGTATAGCAACGCTATGCAACAGCATGTATGTGTCATGTCAAATGTATACCCTTGTTTGTTTCGATCCGGTGAAACTCTGTGGTGAAATGAACGCATCGCATCGCATCGCCGCACCGTACCACGAACCGCATGTATGTGTCTTTAGCTTAAGATGAATGTCATTCGGCAATTGATAGTGAATTTCGCTTTGTGAATCGGCGAGACTCTTTACATCCGGTATTTAGCAGTTATTAGTCAAGTCATAGTAAAAATGCGACCTAAATTTAGTCCAAATATCAACTTTAAGAGCGAATGACGTCAATACCGGATGTGATACAGAAATCAAAATGTTTATCAACTCGTAAATTTTCAGATCGATCGAAATAAAATTGTAGAGGTTGAAAAAAACCGTTATTATTAAAAGAAAAAAGTCAGCGACAAAAGTCAAAATCTTAAATTTTTTAAAGTGCTATCCTTTAGCCATTACTAAAAAGTAAAGAACAAAACAAAAATTTGATCAAAAATTGATTCAGTAATTCGAAAGATGTCAAGAGTGGCTACGTCCTACGTCATTTCCGGTTGAAAAAAATGCGTCATTTTACATTTAAGCAACAACGACACGCTCTTTATGACAGATAATGATGTCAGTTAATGTGTGACATGTGCAGTTTTGGCTTGGCGCTCTTACCAGAATAGAAAAAAAATACAGCGATAAAACGTTGCATTTTAAAGTCACAGTGGGATTTTCTACCGAAAAGAAAAGCATGTAAACATTCAATAGTCAAAACATCGTTTAAACCGTTTAACATTCGGCAGTGAAAAGACGTTGGAATTTGATACCATTCGGTACTAAAAGATGTTAACATTCGGTAGTAAAAAGTCGAATTTTCAAATATCTGTAAAGTTAAAAGTACAAATCGAACAACAAAAATGAAAATATTTTTGGAATGGTCTCGTCAAATACAATAACTTGTGTTACGGTCAAGAGGTCAACAAAGGTCAAATAAAAGAGATATAAGCCTTAAAAGTGTTGAAAATTACTGTATATGGACGTGTGTAAAAGCGTAAATATATGTCGGTCATCAAAGATAAAAGTATGAATGGACATCATAGATCAATAACCTTTGACATTGTAAAGACCAAGGTCATGCATGCAAATGGTCAAAATATGACAATTTTATGAATTGTAAAACCTATTCCCTTTTTTAAAGAAAAAGGCCCAAAACAAAATGTAACTCTATCACTTATGGTCCCAAATAGTGATTTATTTTTATGTAAAATTTCGATGACGACAAATACAAACTTTGCGAGTTATAACAATTTGAAATATTTAAGTTAAAGGTAAAAGTAACCCGGATTTCTCTAATAATTTGTACAATGTCAAATAATGTTCAAAATTTCAAGTGTTTACAATCATTAGAGTCATGAGATATTCGTGGCTTAAATTTTTTTAAGGCAAAGGTGACTGTCAGTGGATTATAGACACCATTAAAATTACGCACAGTTTATAGAAATCAATAAAAAAATTTCAAATTTGAAAAAGCGCAATTTTAATCAAAATACCAATTGTTATATATCATTTGAAATAATAGATTGCATGTAGAAGGACATAAGAGAAATTTTCACGTATGTAAATTAGGTCACGTGACAGAAAGTAAAAAATCGCGATTTTCAATTGGCTGTAGAACCGGAAGTTAACGATGCACAACAAAAGTGAAGATATTATAGGATATATCTCGTAATGGGCAACAACTTTTGTTCAGGTCAAAAGGTCAAATTAAAGTAATATGAGCCTTTGAAGTTTCGAAAATTGCTGTTTTTGGACGTCTGCAAAACCGGAAGTATATATCGGACATCAAAGATCAAAGTAAGAATGGTCATCTTAAGTCAATGACCTTTGACCATGAAAATTTTTAAAATTGTTAAACCTATTCCCTTTTTTAATGTAAAGAACGCAAACAACTGTGATCTTATCACAAATTGTCCTAAGTATTGATCTATTTTCATGCAAAATTTCTAGGGTGACAATTGCAAATATTTCAGGTAACTGTAAATGCACACCGGATGTGTCACGCCTACTTCAAAAATTTCAATTTGTCTGTGATGATGTGTACATTGTTAAATAATGTTCAAAAAGTGTTTACAATCATTAGATCATGAGATATTCGTAGTTAAAAGTTTTTTTTAAGGCAACGGTGACTGTCGGTAGATTATAGACACCGTGAATTTACGCACAGTTACTATAGAAGTCAGAACAAAATTTTCAATTTTTAAAACGCGCAATTTTGATCAAAATGTCAAGTGTGATATATCACCAAAAAGAAAATTCCATGCACTCAAAGAATATATAAAATTTTTTGTCGTATGTCGTTGTCCGGCATTAAATTATACAATGACTCGTGTTACAAAATTCACTATCCAGAGATGAATTTTGTTTTGAAGTTAATTTAGTTAAATTCTGTTTTCGGTTCATTGAATTGGTTATAGAAATTAATGACCCAGGAAAAAGTATAAGGAATGACACATGATATATATATATATCTTTAAGTTTGGAAATAAAGGCTTAAATGGGTCTAAAATGTCAATAGTGTGTTTTAAGTACCTACATTAAGGGGATAAGGAGATACAAAAGACATTAATATGGAAATACTTCTTCCAGAATTCAGTACTCAACATAACGTTAAGTAAACGTGTGTATACACTAAAGTCTTCTTTTTTGAATTCTTTAAGATTTTCTGAAGGTTCTTGCTTCCCTGGAACCTGGTCTTTTTAAAGTCTTAAAATCACAATCATGAAGCAATATAACAATTTTGATCATGCACGAGTATGTCCTATTAATCCGCAAGGTAGCATACGCACACTGGCAGCTGTCAGAAATGATAAAACAGACTAAAGTATGATTTGTTTTCATGTCAAAGAAATTTTAATAGTTTGAATTCAATGATATATATATTTACTGCCAGTTATTTATGCTTAGAAATTCCACCAAGGTTTTAAATATAGCTTTTGAGTGAAACGTCAAGTCAGACACGATATTTCGGTGAAAAATTATCCGATCATCACGAAAATCGATAGGGATCATCTTCATAATGACATTGACATACAAAATCAAAAGAATCTGTACAGAATTGTAGCCTGTAGAGTGAGCACGAGTTGCACAATATAGCTAATAGAGTAAAACGTTAAGTCAGACGCGATATTTCGGTGAAAAATTATCCGATCATCACGAAAATCGATAGGGATCATCTTCATAATGACATTGATACACAAAATCAAAAGAATCTATAAAGAATTGTAGTCTGTAGAGTGAGCACGAGTTGCACAATATAGCTAATAGAGTAAAACGTCAAGTCAGACACATATTTCGGTGAAAAATTATCCGATCATCGCGAAAACCGATAGGGATCATCTTCATAATGACATTGACACACAAAATCAAAATCAAAAGAATCTGTAAAGAAGTGTAGCCTGTAGAGTGAGTACGAATCAAATGTGAACGGACGGACGGACGGACTGAACGACAGGGTGATTACAATATACGCCCATCTTATGTGTGGGCGTATAAAAATGGTAAACAACTTACCTCCTCTCCTTTGTTAGATATTTCATAATGTAAAATCATTTCAACAGCTTCAACATTCTCTTCGTTAATAGCATGTAATAAAGCATCACCTATTTCAATACCGTTATTCAGCAATAACTCTATCATTTCTATATTTTCATTTTCTATAGCTATTAATATCGCAGTTCGTCCAAGTGTATCAATACAGTTTATATTAAAATTATTCACTTTAAATTGTTCTACAATTTGTCTAGTCGTTGGTACGTCACCTCTTTCGACCGCTAGCAGGTATTGTTTTTCTTTGTTAGTCAAATCAACCTCTTTACGTATAATTCCAAAAGATTCAGTCTCGTCTAAATTAGGATTCATGAAATAACCTGTATTCATTACAGATTTCTTATATTCAGAATATACCTTATCCATTTCGGTTGAACCTGAAATAATACCATGTATTCCAATATTATTGGCCTTAATTAAAGAAAAAAAAGCTGGGCTGCATGATAAATACCAATAATGACTAACCTGTTTGATACTCAACATTCGAATTCCTATCTATATCAATAATTTGCACTAACTAGTTTCAGACTATCCAATAGAATGCACAAAGGAAGGAACCATTGTAGAGTAAAAACGTCGGTTGATAAATTAGTTATTGATTTAGTTCATGGGCGTCGGCTCTAGTATATATATAGTGGTGTTAAAATGGATTTTTAAATGATACAGGATAGTAGTATGACAATCTTTAAAAAGATGGTACATACCTTGTAATTCAATCTATGATTAGAATTATAACCAAAATATAATGGACAACACTACATACATTAAGCTGTGTGCACAATCATTATATTGGTTTTCCACTCTCTTCATTGACCGACTATAATCGCGCGTGCCGTGAGTGACTTCACTACATTCCTGTTCAAATACATTATCTTCAGCAAATTCCAAATACTTAGCCTTTACGAAATTATATCGACTTTCTATTGCGTTTTCGGGGGAAAATTGCAAATAAAAAATTTCTGTTTAGATGTGCAAAATCACCAAAAATGTTCGAAAGGTAGTGGGGTGTGTTATTATTGCTAGTCTATCTGAACGATTTCCTGATTATTGAACTTAAATTTGAGAAGTTTTATTCAAATTCTTGTCACCTACAACAGTCGACAGCACCATTTTTCATGCCCCGTCTAGGGCTGTCGTTACCAAATTCTACCAGACCATCAAACCAAGACTAGAAATATCATATTCGACTGAAAACATGATGATCAACAGACGCCACTACCAAATAGAGTCACCATCCTATCTTAACAGAGTCCGTAGTTCTCTCGCAGGTAAACGCTCTTTTCACTTTCAGATTCTCCATCTCCAAATTCACAATCATCCCCACGTGATCCAGTCTCCCGTTGATATATTTTACCATTTCACTTGTCACCTACAACAGTCGACAGCACCATTTTTCATGCCCCGTCTAGGGCTGTCGTTACCAAATTCTACCAGACCATCAAACCAAGACTAGAAATATCATATTCCCATCGACTGAAAACATGATGATCAACAGACGCCACTACCAAGTAGAGTCACCATCCTATCTTAACAGAGTCCGTAGTTCTCTCGCAGGTAAACGCTCTTTTCACTTTCAGATTCTCCATCTCCAAATTCACAATCATCCCCACTTGATCCAGTCTCCCGTTGATATATTTTACCATTTAATGAAAAATCATTGCGACTTAGACAAATCATCGGGTTAATTTCACAATATATTATTATTATGTGTCATAATATCATAGCTTTCCAACGATTTTCACAAAATATTTCACTTTATAATTTATCACCATTTTTCTGTTCCAATATTAGACATAACTTAGTTATAGGTCGTGTTAAGGTCGTTGATTTGGTTTTGATTTTAACACTGCGTACATCTCCATGTTTGTCTTGGAATGTTTCTATAACGCGCCCTTATAGCCATGAACCTCGCGGAAGAGTCTCATCGACGCTTAGTGCGAAATCACCTTCACGAAAGTTTCTGCGAGAATTAAGGAATTGTTCATTTAATATTGATTGAAGTACTTTCCTAATAGTCCTTATTTGGCGCTTCCACACGCCACCATGGTGTGAGGCTGCAGGCGGATTAAAATGCCACCTTAATCCTACTTTGATTCAACTAAGATTTAACACTTTGATGTTCAGTTCACTGTTTGCCCCAACAAAATTGGTGCCATTATCTTTCACTAGTCCACGTCGAGCTATAAACCTTCGAATGGCAGTAATGCACGTGAATACAATCCCATATCGTTTCTTTAAAGATCGACCACATTTCACTTGAAATGGATTGAAATAGTCCATTCCCACACTATAGGATGCAGGTTCATCTGGTTTCTAATGGACTTCTGGCTGAGCAGCAGAGCTTGACGGACGTGTGTAAGATCGCTCTCGGATTCATTTAAATGTATTGACGGGAGTTTTGAAAAGTTTGAAAGCTATTTACTTGGATATATAGATCCTTTGGTGAATACGGACCCAGTCCTATATAAGGGCGCCATGGCCTCTTCATTTAGTCAACGACGACAAGGGTAATACTTTACGAATATTTGCATCAATTATCGTTCAAATTGAAGAATTATGTGGAATTGACTTGGATTATATAGATATGAAGTTACATTATGTGATAATGAAGCCTGTAATATTGTATGTAAAGAAAGATTATTTATTGATGAAAACCAAGTGAGCTGTTATCATGTTGACAAAAAATTGAAAATTGTGAGAACAACATCGAAGACTCAATGTTAGAAGAGAAATTAAAGAAATGGAATGTTTCGTTAGATGGTCCTACAAAAGAGAGGGTAGATAGGGCCGCATGGACATTTTAGAAGAAACTGTAAAACCAAAAAATGGGATATTTGTGACTATTTCGGTGATGACATTTCTAAACCGCGAGCTATTAAAAGAAAACCCGCCCAGACGATTACACCAGAGAAATCGGACAATAAAAAATGCAAATCCCAAGGTAATATTGCTTGTGAAAACCCCAGAAAGTGGGAATGTGAACAGAACGTGGAACCTGTCAATGATAATCCGTCTAGCCGAGAGAACCATTTGGAAATTGTGTAAAACGTTGTGGAATGGTAATGTGCATTTTAGTTATTATGGTGAGAGTTGAAGAGGTGTTGCAATTCTTGTTAATAAAAAATTTAAATCATGTGTTAATTTTGATCTTGAGGACAAAAATGGAAGAATAGTTAAAATCAATGCCATCATTAATGAACGAATAGTCCATATTTATTCCATATATGTTCCCAAAAACCATTCTGAAAGGATTGAATTTTTAAAATATTTTAGTAGCCATTTCCTTCATAATTCAATTCATAATATCGTTTGTGGTGACTTTAATGAAGTTTTGGACCCACGCCTAGACAGAGGAACCGGAATGGTGACAATTCGTGTCAGCTCAGTATATTTAATAATTTCGTTGAAAAATATAATTTTTTTAGATGCTTTTATATACGTTCACCCCCCAAAAAATACATTTCACTCGTGTACAGCATTGAGATTGATCTCTTTAACTTAGCCGTCTAGACTATATTTTATATAGTGATTCTTTAAACGCCTTATGTAAGCATTCCTATTCCTAGTGAATCCTAATATAGGTTCTTTTCCTAACGCAAATTCTCCTGGAATAAGTCAAAGAGAACCAAACGAACCAAATCAATCTGTGGTCAATCCTAACATATAGCATATCGGTATTGGTATGGAACGTTAATGGTTTGCGGTCAAAGTATAACGATTCTGATTTTTCGAAACATATTTCAAATTACGATCTACTATTGTTGTCTGAGACATGGCTTAGTGATTCATCTATTTCCCTATTAGATTTCTCCCCGGGTACATTTATTAATCGCAGTAAACATTTTCGAACGGGAAAAGAAAAGGCTACATGGGGAGGTATAGCTGTTTTCATGAAACCAGGCACGGAGAGTTATTGTAACATTGTATTCCAACTCCTTTGGGGTCTCTGCGTCATCCTAGTACATGGTGATTGTGCTCCTTTAAAAGATGATTTGTATATCATTTTTGTGTATATCCCACCAGAAAGTAGTAATTTTCATAACATTTGTGGTCTTGATTTATTCTTGGAACTTGAGCAAGTGTATGCTAAGTATTGGAAACTGGGGAAAGTGATTATGTGTGGTAATCTTAACAGCAGAACTCGAAATGAAAATGAACAAATTGTCAATGATATCATTCTATCTTATATTCGCTCTGATATTGATTTCGATGATATTGAGTATGATGTGGAGACCCGGTCTTCTGAAGACACTGTCTTGAACAATTTTGGTAAAAAACTTATAGGGTTTTACTGGCTGTAAATTCTTAATGGAAGATTCTAATCGTGGTTCCAGTTTAATTGACTATGTTCTCGCTGATATAAGAGCTCTAAGCAATATAACCAAGTTTGGTGTAAATACATTCAATGAGTTTTCTTACCATGCATCATTATGTTTTCGAGTGAAACTTGAACATAAGCATAAGTGTGTGACTCCCTTAGTAAAAAATTCAAAAGATCACCAACGATTGAACAGGTGGAATCCAAGTAAATCTTCCGAATTAAAGCAATTGTTATTGAGTGAACTGGATTCTTTAACTAACTTAGTTAACTCGTCGCCCATGAGTGTCGATAATATAGCAAAAAATATATCGTGTGTATTGCAGGATGTAGGAGCTAGGTGTCTTGGTGTCAAGACTGTTAAATCTTCCACTCGTAGTTCAACAAAAAAATCATATAGCAATGAATGGTTTGACTCGAAGTGCAGGCTAGCCCGTCAAGATTTTAATCGTGTAAGAAACAAATATCTTCGTAAACGATGTTCTACGAATCGTAAATGTTTTTGCTCAGCTCGTAGTTATTACAGTAAAGTTAAACGCCACGCAAAATTTAAGCTGTCAAAACTGAAAGCTAGGAAGATTAGTTCTCTTCACAAGTGTGATCCTAAACAATTTTGGAACGAGATAAAATCGAGTTATCATCAAGTCCCCAAAACCGATCTCTGTGTTAATGATTTCTTTGAACATTTCAAGGCCGCCTTTGGTAACGAATTGAATAGTTCCTCTAATACTCTCAATGATGTATCTGATCATAATGGTAGCACTATTAACATTCCGGACCTCGATTCGACCATAACGATTGAAGAGGTAACTAAAGCTATCCACAAGCTAACTGTGTGGTGAAATCTTCATAGAGGGATGTGTTACATTAGCACCCGTTCTGTGTTCCTTTTTTAATATTATTTTTGACACTGGATGCTATCCCACAGAATAATAATAATATTATTATCGTCCCTGTTCCAAAGAAGGGCAATTTAAATGACACTGATAACTACAGAGGGATATCAGTTATGAACATAATCGCAAAATTGTTTTCTACTATTCTAAACTGTAGACTTATGAAATGGTCTGAATCCAATTATAAATTTGATGAAAGCCAATTTGGGTTTCGATATGATCACTCCACAATCGATGCTATTTTTATTCTCCAAAGTCTAATTAGTCGTTTTCTTGATAATAAGAAAAAGTTCTTCTGTGCATTTATTGATTGGAAAAAAAGCATTCGATTTGATTGATAGGGATCTTCTCCTTACAAAACTGTTTGTGTTCGGTGTAAGTAATAAAATGGTTAAAATGATTCAATCGATGTACAAAACAGCTAATAATATCGTGAGATTCAGAGGTATGCTATCTGAGAAATTTGCAACTTTCTCTGGTGTAAAGCAGGGAGAGCCTCTCTCACCATTACTCTTCTTAATCTTTATCAATGATCTACACGACTTCCTTACCTCTAGTACGGCTAATCGGGGATTTGTCAATCTTGGTAATCTTTTTATCTTTTTGTTATTATTCGCGGATGATACTGCTCTTTTTGCTACCACCGCTGACGCACTTCAGATTCTATTAGATAAGTTCAATATGTATTGTGAAAAATGGCATCTTGTTATTAATGTACAAAAAACTAAAGTTATTTTTAGTTGTGGTAAACAACTTGATAGTCCTACATTCACTATTAATAAGAAACCTCTTGAGACTGTATCTGAATTTGTATATCTAGGGATTTTATTCTATCAAAATGGTACCTTTCATAAAGCTGAAAAAAGGTTGGCTTCTCAGGGTAGAAAGGCTCTTGGAGCTGTGATTAGCCGTGCTGGCTCACTTTGTCTTGACATCCGAAGCAAATGTACACTATACAACTCATGTGTGGCTTCAGTCCTTTTGTACGGATGTGAGGTATGGGGCTTTATTAAAGGTCGAAATATTGAAATTATCCAGAATGACTTTGTAAGATACACTCTGTCTCTGGGTAAAGCGACGCCTTTAATAGCCGCCATCTCTGAAATTGGATTATACCCTTTATCGGTTATTAGAAAATGTCGTATTCTGAAATATTGGCAACGGATAGCCCTGTCTAATAACCCGCTACTTCGTGCTGTATATGAAGCTCTATGTAGCGATGCCCTTAGTGGCAAACATAATTGGTTATATAACGTGAAAATTCTGTTAGATCAGATCGGTTTTTCTTATGTATTTACTAATCCAGGTTCTGTTTATTTTAAGTCTTTAAAATCACGTATTTACGACCAATATGTTCAGGAATGGTGGTCGTCCCTCGTTGAATCTAGCAAATTGAGATTTTTTAGAAATTTTAAAATTAATTCTCAATATGAAACATACCTTGATGCAAATATTGCAACGAAATTCCGTAGTATCATTTGTAAATTTCGTTGCGGTAATCTACAGCTGCGTGTCGAGACTGGTAGATATACTAAGATACCTCGTGACAAAAGAATCTGTGAATGTTGCAAGTCAAAACATTATATAGAAGATGAATTTCACTTTTTGCTTTGTTGCCCCATCTATAGCCATCTTCGCCAGAAGTTTTTTCATAAACAATTTTGGTCATTTCCTTCCCTTCTCAAAATGAACATTCTAATGAATCCGAAATCCCACTCCCAAGTTCTTTCACTTGGTAGATATCTCTACGAGGCTTACAAACTCCGAGAAACAATCGTAATTAATCTGTAATGTATTAAATATGCATTAGCTGAATGCTATTTTAAATGTATTGTATTGTTCGTGTGTTACTTTTCCAGCTTGTCTTACCATATTTGCATTTATTGTATACCATGTATATATTTCATGTATTATTTTCCTATTAGGAAAGCTATACTACCTATGTTTATATGTTTTTCTGTATTGTAACTCGAATGTATGTAAATTTAATTATGCAGGCTACGTTTTTTTCTCTGTATTTGCTATAGCAAGTATTTGCTTGTCAATAAAGTATAGTAGTAGTAGTAATATACAGCCAACATCCTTTTCAGACTACAATTTTTTCGTTACTCGAAAGAGGCCCTGGCCTGTGGATTATCAATAACACTTTATTTAATGATTCTGTGTATAAAAATATGGCCAAGAATGTAATCAGGTGAGTAATGTTGTATATATGGATGCTCCAATCGTCTAGTGGGACACTTTAAAATATTTAATTAAGAAAGAAATAAACGGTCATGTATGCCAAAATTATATCTCAATTAGAAAAAAGAGAGTTTTGGGATATTTCCAATAAACTCTTTAAAGAGCAGGAGAAGGTCAGTAAGAATTTAAAGTTTGACCCATTTCTTATTCAATTAGAAAGTAGGATTGAAGCACATGAAATTAAAAAGTGTCAGGGTGCTATACTTAGAGCTAAAGCTCAAGACACATTGAAAAATGAAAAAATGCATTCTGTATATAATAATCATAATATACTTGTAAATGACCCTGCCAATGTTATCCAAACTTGTACAAACTATTATAAAATATTGTATACTATTGACACACAAACCAACCCCACATCAGATCAAAACTCAGAATATTTGTGATACTTGTTTGAGTGAGACTGATAGAGGCATTTGTGATGCACCCATCACACGTCAAAAGGTATATACAGCCCTGTAGGTATGAAAAAGGGAAAATCCCCAGGCTCAGATGGTCTAACAAGAGAGTTTTATATACACTTTTGGGATGTGTTAGGCCCTATTTATATGTATATTTTAGATAAAGTATTTGATAAAAAGTCCTTAACAACTACTATGATGAATAGTGTCATAAGTATTTTTTATAAGAATAAAATAGATAAAATAGATTTGAAAAATTATCGTCCCATTGCTCTTTTAAATGTAGATTATAAAATATATACCCACTTAGTAAAGTTGTTGGTTCTTTTGTTCATGTGTTCCTGGCAGAGGTATTGCTGATAATATAGCCCCAAGAAGAGACTAAGCTAAGCTACATATAGCAACACTACATGCTATTTATTGAAACTTGACGCACTGAAAGCGTTCGATCGTTTACGTTTTTCTTATCTCTTTCAAATATTAAAGCAATTTGGATTTTATTTCACATATACTTTTGTTTTATAAAAATATTCGAATCTGTGTAAAAGTTATATATCAGTATGCAGATGATTGTACTATTACTGATCCAACTTTAGCCTCAGTTGATAATTGTGGGGCTTTGCTTTCATCTGAGTTGCGTAATTTTTGTGTCATACGATACGTTTAATGTCCATCTACAATCCTTAGGAAGCATAATTTTGATTTTCGGTTTTGCCTTTTTTGTACAACCTGATGTTTTTTTTCCAAAGTTTGAAGGCTTTTAACTCATGACCTTGATCTTTGATGACTTTTACATTGACCATGGTGATAAAGGCTGTCCTTGACCTTCTCTTGACCTTTGGGGTCAAACAGCAAATTCTGATTTTATAGGGGTCTAAATATGGTCAATTTGGCATTTTTGCAGTGCTGTATCTCAAACCCTAATTGATTTAGCGACATACTACGTTCAGATTAATAATGCACTTAATAAATGGATTCAATTTATATGGCATTTGATCGTGTCAAAGTCACCTTAAAGGAAATGTTGCAATTTCCTTCAAACTTTGAACGCTTCTACCAAATGAACTTGGCCTCGGATGTCGTTGATATTTACATTAATAATTACTATTGACTTCAGCTTTTACATGATGTTAATTTTTTTTATGTCCGACACGTAGTTTCGGTTTTATGGGTGTCACTGAAAGTTGAGTCTGCATCTTTAAAGTGTCCTAACATGTGCCCTATTAGAGATAGAGAAATAATTCTGTCGGATTCAAAATGCTGAGATCTTGAGCTTTTCAGTGATATATAACATGCATGCCTTACATGCAAATTCGAAAAACCCATTCACTTAACATGGGACTATTATTAGATAAATCGGCTAATTAGATTAACCTGGCTGTCAACCCCAATATAAATCAAAGTTTAAGTAGTTTCAGAGACACCCTCCCCTCTATATTTCTTTAAAATGATTTGTGTCCAGTTAAGGTATATAAATAAGCTCTAGGATTGATTGAACCGTGTTATACTGTAAGTTGGGCTTATGAAAGCACATTAAAGGTATACCCCCACTTAATTTTCCAACTTTCTTATTTCTTACCCGATTTTCACCAAACCTGGTATGTATGTGTATAATCCAATTCTAAATTTGATGGATATATCGAATTTGCGTAGTGCGCATGCGCATTACTAACTTTCTTATTTCTTATCCGAATTTCATCAAACTTGGTATGCATGTGTATAATCGAAATCTAAATTTGATGGATATATCGAATTTGCGTAGTGCGCATGCGCATTGCCAAATTTCTCATTTATTATCCGATTTACATCAAACTTGGAATGTATGTGTATAACCCAATTCTAAATTTGATGGAAATATTAATTTTTGTTGTGCGCATGCGCATTACAAACTTTCTTATTTCTTGTCGGAATTTCATCAAAATTGGTACGTATGTGCATAATCCAATTCTAAATTTGATGGAAATATTGAATTTTTGTTGTGCGCATGCGCATTACCAACTTTCTTATTTCTTATCCGAATTTCACCACACTTGGTATATATGTGTACAATCCAATTCTAAATTTGATGGAAATATTGAAGTTTTGTTGTCCGCATGCGCATTACAAACTTTCTTACTTCTTATCCGAATTTAATCAAACTTGCTATGTATGTGTATAATCCAATTATAAATTCAATGGAAATAACCAATTTTTGTTGTGTGCATGCGCATTACCAATTTTCTTATTTCTTATCCGGATTTCATGAAACTTGGTCTTTATTAATTGACAAACATTCTTTTATTCCTAGTCAATACATATAAAACTCTATGCACTTTTGGATTTTTGAATTTAGAGATGCAGAAAAGTATTTACATCAATGTAATTGCAATAGACTATCTTCGTATGTACCTCAATGTCGTAACCCGCCCTGCATCAGTACTGTTATTAGAACAGTTCCAGGTTTTGTTTTAATTTTAGCGTTTTTTTCAACTTCTACAATTTCATTTGAATTGGTCTAAAAATTTAATAATAGATAAGCATTTTGATTCCTGACAAAAATCTATTTTCAAAATTTCGATATCACTTCCGGTTTTGACGCCATTCGCCTCTAACCTTGAAATTTTAACTTCCGGAATTTTGTAGGTATTTGAAAAATTCTTTTTGAAATTAGTTAAAATTGTCCCTATAACAATTTTGGAATGAACAAATTTGAACCGGAAGTAACATGTTAGACGCCATCTTGATGTGACCAATTTTTGTAAAAATCGATATTAAGCTTCAGGGGTAAATCTGATTTGTGTGATTTTGGTGTCTAAAGAATCTGCAATCGATTGCTAACAAAACTTAGGAAGCCGATTTTTGAATTTTGGATTCGGATTTTTTATATTTCCGGTTTTATGTTTTCAGTAATTGTCAAAAATATTAAGGCTCATATCTAGTGACGTTGACCTTTGGTGACCTTGTGACTTGAACAAAAGTTGTTGCCCCTGACGAGATATATCCGATGATATCCTCACTTTTGTTGTGCATCGTTAACTTCCGGTTCTATAGCCATTGGAAAATCACGATTTTTAACTTTGAAGAGCTCTGTCACGTGACCTAATTAACATACGACAAAAATTCTTATATATTCTTTGAGTGCATGAAATCGCCTTTTTGGTGATATATCACACTTGATATTTTGATCAAAATTGCGCGTTTTAAAAAGTGAAAATTTTGTACTGACTTATATAGTAACTGTGCGTAAAATCACGGTGTCTATAATTTACCGACAGTCACCGTTGCCCTAAAAAAAAGTTTAACTACGAATATCTCATGATCTAATGATTGTAAAGACTTGAAATTTTGAACATTATTTAACAATGTACACATCATCACAGACAAATTAAAATTTTTTAAGTGGGCGTGGCACATCCGGTGTGCATTTACCTTTACCTGAAATATTTGCAATTGTTATAACTCTCATAGTTTGCAATTGTCACCCTAGAAATTTTGCATGAAAATAGATCACTGCTTAGGACAATTTGTGATAAGATTACAGTTGTTTGCATTCTTTACTTTAAAAAAGGGAATAGGTTTAACAATTTTATAAATTTTCATTTTTGATCTTTAACATGAATGACCTTGACCTTTGCATGGTCAAAGGTCATTGATCTAAGATGACCATTCTTACTTTGATTTTTGATGTGCAACATATATTTCCGGTTTTACAGACGTCCGAAAACAGCAATTTTCGAAACTTCAAAGGCTCATATTACTTTTATTTAACCTGTGTTGACCTTTTGACCTGAACCAAGGTTGTTGCCCATTACGAGATATATCCGATAATATTTTCACTTTTGTCGTGCTCCGTTAACTTCCGGTTCTACAGCCGATTGAAAATTGCGATTTTTAACTTAAAAAAAAGGTCTATCACGTGACCTAATTTACATAAGCGAAAATTTATCTTTTGTCCTTATTACCCACAATCTATTCTTTCAAATGATATATAACACTTGGTATTTTGATTAAAATTGAATTTGAAAATTTTGTATTGACTTCTATAGTAACTTCGCGTAATTTTAACGGTTTCTATAATCCACCGACAGTCACCGTTGCCTTAAAAAAAACTTTTAACTACGAATATCTCATGATCTAATGATTGTAAACACTTGAAATTTTGAACAT